ATCGGGCGGCAAAGTATCGCGATATATTGCCGTATCGATATTTTTACCCACCCCTACTCTGCAGAGAAACAGAGAGACACGTTTTCTGGTATTATGTGAAGATGCGTATACATGATTACTTTACAAACACGGACCAGGTAAAATCAGGTGAACACACCTGGTGATGGCTTTTTCGTGACATCCCTAATTTTTTGTTATATTGGTGATATGGCACTGGAAACATTTTTGTGGCAGTAAAGTAGCCTCAGTAAAAACTGTCCCAAAAAAATTGTGGCACTGTGCTGCTGCTTAGCATTAAAGAAAAAAATGGAGAACACAGTGTTCATGGAATGTAGCTACACAAAGACATTTGTATTGCTAAAATGAACTATATTCAAACGAGTTTGAATTCAAAAGTGACGGCCCTAATTGGTCTTGGCTTTCTGCTTCTGCAGGGTTAAAGTCAGTATCAGACCTTTAAAAATGCTGAAGCCAATGCAGCTGACAGACAAATGATGCACTTTTCTCATCTAAGAATGTAATGAAAATGGGTGGGGTGTTTCATCATGCATTGCTGTTTGATTCTTTGCAAAAACTGATGTTTGTTTTGATTCTCCACAGTGGTATTATAAGCAGAGACATCTGTCTATTCAAGAGGCACTTTTATTCCTACATATCAGTCATACCAGGGGTAACTGTCCAGCATATGGTTCTCATAGAAGTGGAAAACCAAGCTTTAAACCACTAACACTGTGGTTTTAACATCTTGCTTTGTAATAGTGTTGTGTTGTGCTTTTTCATCACTTTCTGTCTGAGGCCTATGTTTCCTTCCGAGCCATAACACTGACCTGTGGGTTTTATCAGGTGGTCAAATTAATATTGTTGGCATACATTTTCACATGGACTTCCATTCAATTTATGTGTTTATGATTTCACTGAAATGTATATTTCTTCACAAGTCACTGTCTGTTGATTCATCAGTTCAGTTTTCTAGACCCTCTTAGCAACTTTATTTGTATTTGGTGCTCTGAGTAATTGCAGTCCACAGCTCTTCTGCTAACAGGCAGTTAGTAGATGTAGCCTGTGGGGCACGTTTGACCTTCTCTCTCACTGTTTTTCTCCGGATCTCCTGGAGTGGGGTGTTCCTATAAGTTATAGTTTATTTGAGCTTGTAAATGTTTAAATAGTCTGTTTGATCTTCTCCCTCCCTTTTTACTTTTTTACTTCAAATATACAATGTCCCTGTAGTGAGTCTGAATATACCCTTAAATAAGATATATAACTAAGACAAAGTTGATTTAAATTAATATTCTTTTAACTATATCATCATCATCATCATCATCATCATCAGGGCAACCAGTTTACTAGGAACTAGGAATATTCTCTCACTCGGCTGTCTCAGGGTGTTTATGCAGGTCCAGGATCATCCTGTCATGAGACAGTCACATCCCCTCATATTGTAAATGCGAAGTATAAGTAAAGCACCTAATATAAATGATTCTGGAAATGCTCATGTTATTTTTGAATAGTTTTTACCAGCACATACTCTGTTGCTTTGAGTTTGAGTTTATCTTTGCAATACAAAATCAGTCACTGATAAATTAATTGCAGTTTCTCTATCTGTTAAACCTGCACTTAATGAACTCCCCACTTCATTTAGTAGTTTCACAATAAAGGTGTTGGAACCAGCTAGGGCTGTTCCTGACTAAATATTTTCCTAGTCAAGTAGTAGTCCCTAGTTAAAGCCAATATTTGACTTGTTGTCGCACATTTATGATATTAATTAAACAGTTTAATTGTATATATATTCTTCTTGTTAAATGCAGAAAAGGAAACAAAAAGCGTTAATTATTCTGAATGACCAGCTAGGAGACTTTGAGTTAATTTATTTCAACACAGTATAATGGGCAAATATACATTTAAACTACCTGCAATTAAATTAAAGACGTGTCTCTAATAATACCATGTCTTAAGTAAAGGCCTGGTCCCTGCTAATTGTCAGGTTTGACAGTATTTGTAAGGCATAACAGGAAGGTGCACTAGTGTATGATTCCACAACCATCAAACATTTTTCCCAAAAGTCATAGTGCACAACAAAAGTGGAAATACATAAATTGAATGGTATTGTGTGTTCATCTATGTCAGTTCTCCACTGTTACTCTGTTTCAGTAAGTAAAATAATTCACACTCGAAGTACAAGTAGAAGTCATTTTGGATTTTTAGCAGTGTAACAAAGCTGCATTGTTTTCACAGGAAAATCCTCAACCTCAGTATTTGTTCCTCTGATTCTCTTGGCAATGTTTGCTCATCTGTATGCATGTTGTGGTTTGCAGTGCAATTATTGGTCGCTCGACAAAAGATTTCAAGACCTTCTTGTTCAGCTTTATCAAATTCATGCCAGTTGTAAGTGTTTTCATTTGTTAACTTTTTCTTCTTGTCACACTCCTGTGTGATCTTAATTGCTATATGCTATATATTATTATGTAACACATTTATAGTTCAGTGTCAGTTAATGTTACTGCACATAGTTTATGTAAAGTGTACAGAGGAGACCTGATATGAAAAACACTGACATTTCTTCTACTGTGTAGTTACTAATTGAATCATTCCATGCACTTGCAAAAAACTAACCTTTAGCATGATCATTCTTTTGAGTTAACATGAGCAGTCTATCACTCTTGCTTCAATGTACTTTTGTATGCCTCAATGTTAAATGATAAGGCTGGCAATATTCTGTTTTTTAATGTCAACAAATCCCATGATTTTTAAAGCTCAGTACTTTACAAAAACAACTGACCACTGTAATTCTTTGCTCTAGTGAGTATTTGTGGCAGCAGTACAGTGTATGTGGGATTGAGTCAAGATAAACCGAAGTGTTTGTGTGTATATGGTAATGAAGGAACATACCACCCAGCAAAACAGTGTGGCTCACTGATGTTTTCTTTTTAATAGTTTTTAGACAACAATGGAGCTCTATGGTACAGAGGAAGACGATAAATCAGGCTTTGGATACTCACACAATACTTGTTAGTAAATACATTCACTGTTGTTTTGTTGACAATAAGAAAACAGATTATCTCCAGCATAATTCTTTAAAGGTCCAGTGTGTAACCTTTAGGAAGATCTATTGACAGAAATGGAATACAATATCCATAGGTATGTTTTCATTAGTTTTATAATCACATTTTCGCATCTCGTTACCTTAAAATGAGACGATATTATGTACAGAAACTACAGACTACTAATAGCCCAGGATGGACAAACTAAACACTGGCTGTAGATAGGGCCTTTCACGTTTTCTGTGAGTTTCTCCTACACTCTTGGAAGGCTGAGTGGTATTCAGTTGGTTGCAGTCTGCAACTTCACTGCTNNTACACACTGGTCCTTTAATTTTTTAAATTGCATTGTTCTCGGAAACTCTAAATATTCTGCTTTGCATGTTTTCTGTATACTATGCTTCTAATTCAGAAAAACAATAAGCATGAATACTATAGAGATTCTAAAACCATGTCACTTATACTGAAGCAAAGCTCTCATAGTGAGAGATAGATACATGTATGTTATGTGTGACTGGGTCATTCCAGATAGCCTTGGTGAACAACTTCCTGAAGTTGGGTCTAAACGAGCTGAAGCTGAGGTTCCGCGAGAGGCTCACAAAAAACTTGTACGACCAGGTAACCTGCAGTAGAGATATAAAGCTGCTTCCCTAGTCATCATGGGACTTGTAATTATCATTACCTTTGTTTTCACGTCTTTATAAGACAACAGTATCTACCCAACATGTCTGGTTACAGGTTCCACGAAACATAACAGTATATAACTGCTTTATTTCCCAAGGTTCAGTAATTGCTTTGTTTGGACAAATGAGCTCTTGGTTTAAGACAATTACAACTTGTGCTGCTGGGAAATTGTAATGGGTTTTTAATAGTTATTATTATTGTTAGAATAATAGAACAAGATCTTTTGACAACCAAAAAATTGTTAGTTGCAAGCAAGCTCTGTGCCCACTGATGAATGTAAATGGTCAAATGACTGTATTTGTATAAAGCGCCTTTCTAGTCTTTGACCAATCAAACTGCGCTGTGCACTACATGCACACTCACCCAATTCACACACAGTACATATCACAGATGGCAAGTGGCTGCATGCA